CATATGCAATCCTATGGTGGATATTTTACTTAATGCAATTCTTTCGCAGATATTTAACTATTTGAAAGCCTGTTATAGTCATTTCATTTAATAAGTGCCTTTTCAGAAAGATAATACAAGTATTACACGGGATATTCCTCTATGGAAGCCATTTTATGATACAGAAACTGTTTACTGTCATTTAATTGTATTAGAGACACTGTGATCATTTCAGCATATGAAAGCTAAATGCAGCAACCTAATGTCTAACTATATGGAAGCGTGTAGCGGCCGTTAATATATATCTATTTATGAAAGCGTATAATAAGCCATTCTACGCAGATAATTTTACCAATTCCAACCTTCGATGCTGGGAATGAATAACTTTGTTATGTCCATACCTTTTATCAAGTCTTCTCTTTCCGTTTGCATCAAAACTTACGGAACTCAGGCAATATGGCGTATCTTGGCGACAATAGTTGATGTTTGCGAACCCGATGAGACAAAACGGGTCATTACAAACCTGGCAACGAGCTGAAAATACAATATAGAGATTGGTCTGTGGAAGTTTTTCGGTGGGCGTAAGCCGAGTAGGGGGTCACGGGATTTTTAGAAAGCAATGATAAGATATTTGCGAGTGCCTTTTGGACGACAATTCCGTACCCGAGAGGGAGAGAGGTAAGAAATGTACTAACTGTTGGTGAGCGGAGGAGGTGTAAACGAGTTCGATCCAGTTGTAGCGGAAGTCATTGTTATGGTTGTTAGGGAAGTTGTTCGGACAGATGTGTCTTGGGATTGTGTCAAACCGCCAGTTCTGTAAGAAGCATTGGAAGTATGTGTGGGTCCTTGAGAACCCCCATTGTTAGTAGAAGTTACAGCAGCAATTGTATCCGTGGCTCGATGTTCCTGAACAGCCATTCTATTAGTTCCAGTCACTTCCGATGTCATGGGGCCTTCTTCAGTAATTCCAGAGTGTTTCTGCGTTACCATATCACTGGTTACAGCCAAATCCGGTGTCAAAGTGCCATCTTCAGTGACCCCAGAATATCTTTGCGTTACCATAGACATTCCTTGGTCCATTGACACACCCTCTAAAGTAACTCCAGAATCCGTTGCTGAGTTGTTCCAGAGTCCTCGAGTGACAGTGTGATTGGGAATTGCGTTTGTGTGAATTTCTGATGTCGCCAGTTCATCAGTGAACCCATCATCAGTTACGGGTTCATCCGTATTTTGAACCCGGGGACTAGCCGTTTCTACAGCATCTGTAATTCCAGAATCCGTAAATTGCGGGCTATCAGTAACTTGATTAGTTAACATTACATTTGGATTTATGGTATCCGTTGTTAGTTTGTTATCGGTAACCATAGAATCCGATGTTACTTCGTTATCGGTAACCATGGAATCCGATGTTACTTTGTTGTCGGTAACCATAAAATCTGTTGTCATTTCGTTATCAGTTACCATAAAATGTGTAAGCATTTTGTTGTTGGTAACCATAGAATCTGTTGTTACCTCGTTATCGGTAACCATAGAATCTGTTACTTCGTTATCAGTTACCATAGAATCCGATGTAACTTGGTTATCGGTTACCATGGAATCAGTTCTGATTTCGTTGTCGGTACCATGTCTGTTGTTACTTCGTTATCGGTAACTCTAGAATCTGTTTTTAGCTCGTTAGCAGTTACCATGGAATTTGTTGTTACCTCGTTATTAGTTACCATAGAATCTGTTATTCTTTGATCCGTCACCAGTTGCCCTTTGGTTGTCACTTCATCAGTAATACCTTGAAAATATGTTAATGCTTCTCCAGTTACGATTGCGTCCGTTGTTACAGTTTCTGTTAACCACGGAACTGTTACAACTTCGGAACTCATGATAAATTGTTCTGAAGAGGATGGCTTGATCATCGCAGATGCGTCTACTGAAGATGTTGGTTGGATAGTGCCGAATACCTCTACTGAAGACTGTGGTAGCTCAGTTGCAGAACTTTGAACCAGCAAAATGTTTTCTGAGCTTCTTTCTCCTGTCAACGACGGAAATTGACTGCTCATTTCCATCCTGAGAGATGTCTGTGGACCTTCGACCACCTTGGACGAGGTGATTACGAGTACCTTAGTGCGAGATAAAATGACTCTGGTTGTTGACATCTCAGGAACACTAACTGGGAAAGATGATTGTAGGATGTTTTGGGATGATTCGGTTGAAGTGGATGACTGTTCATAGCTGGATTGCAGATGCTGTGATGCAATGATCGGACTGCCGGAGAAGACACCAGAAGTCGGTGACGGAGTAATCGCATTGGAAGTTACCAATGAATCTGTGACGATAGCACCTGTCGATGGATTGATGGTGGTTTTATCGGAAGTTGGAATAGGCGTCGTGGTGGGCGGTTTAGATGTCGCTTTAGCAGTTGTTTTCAACAGATGTGGAGGATGTGTATGCTTATGATGTCCACAAACTCCACATGATTTTGGACACACTTCCTTGATGACGATGTCCTTACAGCTTTTGTGATCACTGCTTTGGATGCTATCACATTCTCTGTTGTGATCCACACATTTGTTGGAGTCGGGCTTCAACAATCCACAGATACCACACGACAAGGGACAGAACTCGTACACCCACTCCTCGCGACATTCCGCAGTTCCTCGGATTTTGTAGCAGTCTATTTGGTCATGATCCCTACAGTCCGTTACAAAAGGATGGTCGGCATTGATGTCTGTTGCTGAAATAAAAATATGCATCTAATAGTTCGGATGGGACAATAAATTGAGGCCCGGTGTTTCACAGGATGTGATACCTCCTCGTCAATTGGAGGAAGAGACGATGGGCTGTTTCCAGCTTCCTAAAAGCAGAAGATCTAATAAAAGTGGAAATCAAATAAGATCGACGTACCTGACAGAAGAATTAAGACACAGCAGAATTTCCACGTGTCCATTACAGTAGACAATTCGAACACGTCTTGGCAAAGGCTATCTTGGAATGGCCACACATAAAGGTTATCTAGGAATGGTCGTCGGTGGAGTTCGAAGATATTTTAAAAGATAAGATTGCAACCGATGATAAGATAGCCAAACTTCAAACTTTTAATTTCTTAATTTAACCAACCGATGACGTCATACTATCGGTAATGTCTGCATACGTAAATAATTCGAATTTTAACCGCCGGATTTCCCTTACCAAAGCTTAACTTCCCTTACCGATGACGTCATAATACGGTAATAATTGTTATATATAACAAAATGGCTCGGAAACCAAAGTTTTTTGGGTAATGTAATTAATGAGCATTAGTGAACTATGGATCCATGGCAATTGCTAATTGACAAACGACGAATTTTGCGACAATGGGTTTACGGTTACGATTTCGGAGACTCAAACCAAGCCCGAAACAAATATCTCTTTATATCTTTCTATTCACTCATTTTTTGGTTTCCTTGGTTTTCTACTGATTAGATAATCCAAAACCCTAAACCGAATTGGACACCATATTCGGAAAGGTTATCACCACCAATTTGGCCTAATTTTATGAATGCCAAATCAGAGACTTTAACCAAAATCAAAGACTTTAACCAAAATCAGAGACTTTAACCAAATCAGAGACTTTAACCAAATCAGAGACTTTAACCAAATCAGAGACTTTAAATATGTCGAAACAGATTTTATTTTCAAGCAGGTGTGTGTTTTAGTGTGTTATATTTAGGTACTGTATGTATGTTACAATTGTCAGTAGTGCAGCAGAATTCACAATGTATTGGTTTCGTGTATATTTTGTTGTTGTCAAACAACAAGCATTCTGAAATTCCAGCTGTTCTGTTGATCCATTTGAAGTCGCATTCTACCTCGCTTGCACATCTGAAAAACAATTAGATTGTCGTAAAGGAATAACTTGCTTTGTCAACTGACTGTGTTACTTTTTATAATGACGATCGGAAGTCATGCTCACTCTTATTCGTGGTCTTAAATGGGACTCGGTAGTGGCACAAAATGGAAGAGATTTGAGTCCCCCAAATGTTGCTCCAGACTCCAAGCTCCAGGTACGAGTCAGCAAATTCATCTTTGGCTTACCTCTTATTAAGAGACTTCTTGCCTTGGAGTTCATGGACTTAAATGCGGCTCGGTTGTCAGTGAATTCATGAACTATCTTTTGCTTACCTCTTATGAAGAGTCTTCGTGCCTTGGACATTAATTGCAATGTAGTTCATACAAAATGGCTGCCATGCAGGACATTTAACTATCGTCTCGAAATGCAAATTACAAAATGGATCTTCACAGACGTGGCACATTCCTACAAAAAGAACGAGAAATGTTCGTATAGGTTATTAAGAAATCAATTTTGGTCTGAACCATTCAAGAGTTACCGCCCCTTGGCTATTTTCCAAAAAAACGCGGCTTTTAAGTCATTGGTCAATTCTCTAAATTGAAGTGCGTGAACCAATCCAGTTGGTTTATTTAGTGAAGAATTTCATTTTGCCTGGTTACGATTTGTAAATTAAGAAATGACCATTCAAACTTACTTTTCACGGGCGAATCCGTGGATCCCATAGCAGACGGCTCCAATGACGTCATAAACTGGTCGACAATTTGGTTTGTTGCAAGAGCATCGGTTAGTTCTTGGGGAGCTTCAGATGTGACTATTTCTTGTTCGGAGGTAGTATGTAATTCTTCTTGTATTGTTGCCACTTCCGTTTTAATATTCACTTCCGGTGATGTTTCCAGTGAAAGTGCAGATTGGGTGACTTCCGGTGTTACAACTTCTGGTGATGTCTTCAAGTGATGTGTTACCTTTGTCTGTGGCCTGGCAGTGATAGGAAGTGTTGTCCTCTGACTGTTGCACAAATCTGGACATGTTACCCTAACTACGCTGGAGTAACAGTAATATGGGTTAATCGTATCGCACTCGGATTTGGATACGTAGCAACCTATAAATGCATGCAGCGGCTTCGTATCGGAACATAATCCACAAGACAGAGGGCAATAGGTACTGATGCGTTTTTCATGGCAGACCTTTGTGTTCTTTATCTTAGCACACTCTTTTGGGTTACAATCGTGGCACTTCGTTGCAGGCTTGATGATCCAACAGTTTCCGAGCAAAACGTTCAGCAAAGCCACTGAAATAGAGCAGAAAGGTACATATGGAACAGTCCGTAACGGTGGAATTTGTGAGGGTAATGAGCCTGTGGGTAGGCCCTCCCTCCCCGCAACAACCTCGAGAAATTCAGGCTGGCACCCACCACCCCCACTCCAATCAAATTTTTAACATTTAACATTAGGTAAAACTTGCCCGCACAACCCGTTGACAATTTTGTAGCCACGTATCGTGTCCGGACCCGTACATCATGTATTCTCTCCTTGCTGTTCTACTGTATCGATAATCAGGCACGGTACACCGCATCGGAGACAATACCTTTACGCACCATCATCCCGAAAACGTCTCACAACCATAACAAAAATTCGATCATTGCACAAAATATCGTTGATGATATGTACTTTTTAAAGCCATGGAAGGGCGTAAAACTCCAATTTAACTATATTCCTATATATGGACAGTCATAAACTACATAATCCCGACAAAACCTTACGAAAGTGATCGATACCATTCGTATATCACGTCCGAAGAACGCGTAGGGCCAGATTTGCCAGGATAGGAGTATAGATATACGTACCCAAGCACCAGAACAACGTATTCTTCTGAATCATCTTAACGAATTTAGACTGTAATTCTCAAAAATAAACTTAATTTTGACCAATGAAACTAAATCAGTCCTTTAGTGCACCTTCTCTCCCTTTCGTCTACTTCTAGTTCCTATCTCGAAGGTTATCAGTGGGTAACATAGTAACTTAAATATTTTTTTTAAAACTGTGTATGTCTTTCGTTAAAGGTATACTGCCTCTTAGGATGACCAAAAAATTAAATTGTTTAAAATGAGGCTTTGTTCATCAGTGGGCTTACCAAGAGTCATAACTATACGACAGAATCCCTCTATAATCTGATATATCGATAAAACTAAGAAATAACTCATTAAAATAAGTATTTTTAAAACATGCTTAGAAACGTGGTTCAATAATTATTTAGTTTAATAGATATATCGTGTTATATAGAGATTCTATTCTTTAGTCATGTCACCTGGTAAATCCAACTGATGAATATATACTCTTATTGACCAAGTTTGAGACTTTAAATTGTATGTCCATTCTGAGAGGTTGTATTCCTTAAAGGATACCGTGATCTCTGTACAGGACCATGATTGATATAGGGTTTTATCATAGCGGTCATCTCGGTCGTTTACCGGGTCCGCTTTAACTTTACAATGTCAAGCTATTACGAGCTATGTCTTATACCTTGACTTCAATAGCCTCCTTTCTTGTGCAATTTGTTTTTGTAAATGCAGAGATTCGGTTGGATTGCACGGAAGAGAATACAGCTAATCACAGGCTTTGACAGAAAGACTGTAAACAATATGACTTTCTGTCGTTGTATTCCGTGATACAAGAAAGGCGGCTAATGAAAAAGTGCAATTTGGTTTGTACCCTCTTATTTCTAAAAGTTCGACTGGAGGTTTCCGCTTACGGCGCTTCCACAGGGCTGCCGCATTTTGAATCTCAACTTCTCAACAGCTATCCCCCCATTACGCCGGACTTCCCCTATTTGCACCCCCAGTCTCTGGAGGCTAGAACCGCCGCTGCCGATGTATATGCTAAGGTAATTGAAGTCCGTGAGAACAGCTGCACATTTTCCTGTCGGGTAATTGATAAAGTTATGTGACTCAAGGGTGTGTATCTATTTAAACCAATCGAATTCAAATGCAGATCTAAAAAAAGAAAAAATGAAACAACCATTGTTTTACAATGATAACAGCTTAAGTCAAGGTAGCAAGACTTCCACACGCCGACCGATATTAGAACCCACGACCATCATTTTGATCCACGTAACCCAGCCTATATGACACCATGTAACGATTTACTTGCTGCGCTTTTTGGTGGCTGTGCTCAAGGTTGTGTTAGTTGGTAGTTAGTTGGATCAATTGAATGATGCTGTTATTTTCGGTAATTGAGAGAGCTTTAGGACTGGTCCTGTCGAATGACGTGGCGGAGAAACTTGGCCCTTGGTGTGCATGGGTATCGTCCAACACTAAACACAGCTCGATATGGTACAAGATATACTAGGTTTATCTGAACAAGAAAGACAACTCTTCTAAAAAAAAATTTACTACAAAAAGAAAACAAATATCTAAAAAAAAAAAATAACTAAATTGAGATTACAAAACTTTTGATTGTGATTTTATGAGCAAACTGGTGTAAATTGGTGAAAAATATTTTACTACAAAAAGAAAACTATCAAAAATACCTTTCTAATGAGGTTTTCTAGGTTTGATTTTGTTGTATCGGGGCCGTTTATGGCTCTATTTGCATCGTTTCAGTTTTCCACCATGTGTCTGTGGTTCCTATCTTTATAGAAAAGCTTAACCGCAACAGATGTTGATAACAAGAGAGCTTTTGCGACAGTGTTGTCATTAACCACTTAGTTTCAGTGGAATTGCAATAACCACAGAAATCTGATAGAAAATTGGAATGGGGCAAATTGATGCAATCAGGTCTCCGATACAGATGAAAGCTAGAAAACCTCTTAACAATAACCTATTGGAAAAAAAGAGAGATTACAACCATGGAGATTCGTTTCTTTTTCTTGATTTTTCGATTTTTTGATTCATATACTTTTTCAATTTGATTTTCCACTCACTGGCATCATTATTGCTGACCTCATCATTGCTTTGTTCTTTATTTCATCTGAAACCCTTACCACCGTAACTTGAGAACCCCCCCCCCCCCCACCCCCCAGCTTAACCTCTTTTTTTCCATGTAATTATACTTTTATAGACACTAGATATCACCTAACTATGGGTTGTATTCCAGAGGTTGTACCACTGTTGTACTATTGTTAGACACTAGATATCACCTAACTATGGGTTGTATTTTAGAGGTTGTACCACTGTTGTATTATTGTCAGACACTAGATATCACCTAACTATGGGTTGTATTCCAGACGTTGTACCACTGTTGTACTATTGTTAGACACTAGATATCCCCTAACTATGGGTTATATTCCAGAGGTTGTACCACTGTTGTATTATTGTCAGACACTAGATATCACCTAACTACGGGTTATATTCCAGGGGTTGTACCACTGTTGTATTATTGTCAGACACTAGATATCCCCTAACTATGGGTTATATTCCAGAGGTTGTACCACTGTTGTACTATTGTCAGACACTAGATATCACCTAACTATGGGTTGTATTCCAGACGTTGTACCACTGTTGTACTATTGTTAGACACTAGATATCCCCTAACTATGGGTTATATTCCAGAGGTTGTACCACTGTTGTATTATTGTCAGACACTAGATATCACCTAACTACGGGTTATATTCCAGGGGTTGTACCACTGTTGTATTATTGTCAGACACTAGATATCCCCTAACTATGGGTTATATTCCAGAGGTTGTACCACTGTTGTACTATTGTTAGACACTAGATATCACCTAGCTATGGGTTGTATTCCAGAGGTTGTACCACTGTTGTATTATTGTCAGACACTAAATATCACCTAACTACGGGTTATATTCCAGAGGTTGTACCACTGTACTATTGTTAGACACTATGTATCGCCTAACTATGGGTTGTATTCCAGAGGTTGTACCACTGTTGTACTATTATCAGACACTATGTATCGCCTAACTATGGGTTGTATTCCAGAGGTTGTACCACAGTTGTGCTATTGTCAGACACTAGATATCACCTAACTATGGGTTGTATTCCAGAGGTTGTACCACTGTTGTATTATTGTCAGACACTAGATATCACCTAACTATGGGTTGTATTCCAGAGGTTGTACCACTGTTGAACTATTGTTAATCACTAGACATCACCTAACTATGGGTTGTATCCAGAGGTTGTACCACTGTTGTACTATTGTCAGACACTAGACATCACTTAAATGTTGGACCACTTCATCATGAGACAGCTATGATAGGTGTATGCCGGTTTTCTTCCACCTTTTTAAATCAGAGTGGTCGCTACGTCTTGTCGATTTGGTCTCAATATTTTGGGTTTGGTCTCAAGGTAGTAAGCATGCATCGCCTGGAATGGAATTTGGAAACATGAAAAGAATAAGCTTTTTGCGAAGAATAACAGCAACAGCAACTACGATGAATTGTGAACGCTTACCTTTACATGGATCGGAATTAGATCCATTACACAGTGGCGGAGCCAGGTTTACGTCCGAGGGGGAGGGGGATAGGCCTATTAGAGATTTTGCCCGAAAAACTTCCTTTCGCTCCGCCACTGCCATTACATTTAAAGGGATTGTAAAGAGGTTTTATAAACTATTTATGTGCATCGGGAACACTATTTTAGTCAGACATAATAATGTTGTTCCTGCTGTTCAACTAAAAAAACTAAGCCTTTCACGACGTCACTATGGATGAAATATGATAATAATATGTAAGGGTCTGTGCGGAAGTGACGTCATAATTGCTTAGTATAGGTGAAAAGCAATGCTACCAATGTTCCCAATAAACTGGTACCCCGTTGTGTTCGCTTAATGCTACACTAACAATTAACTGGTGCGAAGCTTTAGATGGATCTCCCTTTAACAGTAAAAATACTTAAGCTTGTCTATGCCAGCATCTCCGACCTGTTTCACTGACAAAAAGGGTTTAAAAAATCGGCCGTTATCCATTGCTGTTTTTATCCAAATCGAGAACTTTCAGAGAAAAATTATTTTCATACCTCCTTGATATTGGTGATAAGCTTAATACGTGTCTGTGTCTGTGTGATTGAGTTCGAAGCTGAATTCAGCTGTTTGAGCTTCTGATATTTATCGAAGAATTTGTTTATCAAATTTCTCGATATTTGTGTGCCTTCGAGCTGAAAAAGTGAAAACGAAGTGAGTTTTACGTCCAGATTTCCTGAACTTTATTGGGCTAATAGGCTAAATACTGAGAATGTTATGCCGTGTGCAATGAGTATAATTTTCTAGGATACTGACAATCTGATTTAAATGAAGCCCTGATTGTTTCGTTTCGGAGAGTTGTTTTCTGAAGGTTACTAAGCCTATACCTGCCATCCATGATCTAGCTAAATTCTTCTTTCAGTCGTGTTCAGTAGGATGCTTGGGTAATAAAGAGACTGGTGAGACACCCGTTTTACCAATCGTACGTTATGAAATGGGAATCTTTTTGCTAAGCTCATCAGTAATAGTGTTCACAGCTCACAGTCGAAATTTGAGCCTTCAAATCCATGGGTGTGTCCAGAAATTCCTAGTTGAAGGTACATTTTCGTACATTTCTAGTAATTCTGAAGACCCTAATCAACCCCCGAAAATGGCGAACATATCCCTTTAAAACTTCTGGGCTTACCATTATTTCTCGTTCACTGAGTAGATCAAAAGATTCGTCTATATCTCCATCGAGTACGATTTCAGAAAACCGGCCCATCTAAAATAATCAAAAAATGCATCCAAGTTAAAAAAAAAATTAATAAAATCCGTAATGAAATGTTGACATCTTCAGATTGTAAAGTTATAAGGATCATCATCTTATACCTTGACTGCTATAGACATCCTTCTTGTATCATGTTTGTTTGTAAATGAAGAGATTTGATTGGACTGTACGCTAGCGAATCTGAGCTCTCGATAGAAAGTTCGTGAACACAAAGCCATAATGTTTACAGCCTTTCTGTCGAGTGCTCTCATTGGCTGGAGTATTATAAATTATTACGGTTTCATCAATAGACAGAGATCGACGGGTATGCCTAATTCCTTTATCTTGCTGAAAAAAAGAATCGATTTTTATTCAAATGACGATTATAGCTCAACTACCACCGCCCCCCCCCCCCCCC